TTTTCTCGGATATGTTACTCATCAAAAAGGGTACCGCTGTTATCACCCTCCAACTCAACGAATGTTTATCACAATGGATATTATCTTCCATAAAGACTTGATGTATTTTTCTTCTAAACCTGAACTTCAGGGGGAGAACTAGAAAGAAATTCAGACTCTATATTATGATTTTCTAGATTATGATTATCACACTTCTGAGGAAGGCGAATCCCCTGAATCCAGAGACTATGATATGGGCATAACCTTGGATTCTAGTGGTGATAACTCACAAGTTGGACTAACCAATCAGGAATTGGGCGAATTGAATTCGAGTGGTATAAGTTTGGATCAAAGTGGTGATGAACGCCCAGAAACGGAAAATATGGCTCCAACCCCACCGTCATCCGAGTTTGAGTCCCTCGCAACTAATATATTAAACCAATTGCTTGCTGAGGATGTTCATGATTTAGTGTTTGAGCCACTCAGAAAACAATTACCACAGCGTCACACTAGATGTATTCCTAAACCCACATATGAACCTGAACTTTCTAGTAAAGTTAAGTATCTCATAAGTCATTATGTGTCGAACCATCGTTTGTTAGAATCAAATTTGTCATTTGTAAATCAATTATCTACTGTATCTATTCCTAACAGTGTGCAGGAAGCCTTAGCTGACCCTAGATGGAAAACAGTTATGAACGAAGAGATGAAATCTTTGCAGAAAAATGAAACATGGGAACTCGTTGATCCTCCATTAGGAAATAAACCAGTTGGATGTCGATAGATTTATACTATGAAGTATAAAGCCGATGGCAAAGTTGAACGCTTTAAAGCCAGATTGGTGGCAAAAGGTTACACCCAAACCTATGGAATCGATTACACAGAGACGTTCGTACCTGTAGCCAAATCAACACAGTTCGAGTCTTGTTGTCTTTAGATGCGAACTTGGATTGGCCATTGCAACAATTCGATGTGAAGAATGGCTTTCTACATGGTGAATTATCTGAAGAAGTTTACATCGATCTCCAACCAGGATGCATAATACCCGAAAAGTATAATCAGAAGGTATGCAGGTTAAAGAAATCGTTATATGGGTTGAAACAATCTCCTATAGTATGGTTTAGAAGGTTCACAAAGTCTATAATAGCCTTTGGCTACCATCAGAGTAATTTAGACCACACTTTATTCATGAAGAAACAACAGGGTAAGATCACTATACTCATTGTATATGTGGATGCCATGGTGGTTACAGGGAATGATCCTGAAGAAATGAAGGTTCTCAAGAATTACTTGTCCAGAGAATTCAAAATGAAACATCTAAGTCCTTTGAAATATTTTCTTGGGATCGAAGTATCTCAATCTAATAAAGGAATCTTTATATCTCAAAGAAAATATGCCTTAGATCTATTACAAGAGACTGGTATGACACCATGTCAACCAGCAACTACACCAGTGGAAGAAGGACTGAAGTTATGTGTTGAGTCCAACCAAGTACCTACTAATAAAGAAAGATACCAAAAAATTGTAGGGAGATTGATGTACTTAGCACACACGAGACCGGATCTGGTTTATGCATTGAGTATAGTTAGCCATTTTATGCATGATATGAATGCACTTATGCGCATTTTGAGGTATTTGAAATCTGCTCCTGGAAAAGGAATTTTGTTCACTAAAAATGCTGATTATCAAAGCATAGATGTATATACTGATGCTAACTGGGCTGGAGCCATAGATGATAGGCGATCTACCTCTGGTTACTTTACTTTCGTAGGAGGTAATCTTGTTACATGGAGAAGCAAGAAACAAAATGTTGTTGCTTGCTCAAGTGTAGAAGCTAAATTCAGAAGTCTTAACCACAATGCTTCACAAAGTCCAAGTGCCATACTTCAATATGATCGTACGAAGAATGTCGAAATAGACAGATTCTTCATTAAGGAGAAGTTGGATAGAAAAATTGTGGAGTTGCCTAAGATTCAATCTAAGGATCAACTAACTGACATTCTCACCAAAGCAGTCTCAAATCGAGTGTTTTCAAAATTTTTAGACAAGTTGGGCATGTATGACATCTATGCATTAACTTGAGGGGGAGTGTTAAGATTTTATCTCTTGTAATTCGGGAATGTACAAATTGTATAGCTGTATGATTGATTATTTATCCCCTAATTTAAGAGCTAATTTGTAGGTAATTAGTTTCCCGATTATTGTATAATTAGTTACCTAATTTAGCTAGGTTTGTATTCTATAAATTGTATCTAACCCCATTACTGAATAATAATTCAAATACAATTTTAATCCCCATATTTTTTCTCTGAATTAGAAAACTACATACATGAGGCACCTCCAACAGAGGGAAGACCACCCAAAACCCTGCACAAGATAAAATCAAGTAGAAAATCAAAGATCAGATTAAGTAGGGAAAAACCAAAACCGACATAGATCAATGATCTAGCCAGAAAGAAAACAACATATCCATCCATGCTAGCTGAAAACAAGCCAAATATGAGTAGATTTAGCCGAACAAAAAAAAAATGATGTAAAAGACGTAAAAAACACCCTTAAAGCGAACTTATTAAGACAGGTCGAGTGTATTGCATGGGAGACAAAAGATCACCTCCCATGTGTCCAATTATATTAACTCTTGTATTTGTGTATAAATTAATTTTTCGTTGGTGTGCTTCCACTGTCCAATAGAATCGTGAATACGTCTCACGTAGTCAAGCACTGACTCAACCTTTGACCTTCGCACTACTTTTAGACTTCCATTTTGTAAGATGAGTAATACATTCAAAAGAATTTTTTTTTACTCAGAAAGGTGTTCAAAACACACTACTGTCAAAATAATTAGTCACTGCAATACTGGTTCATATATACAATACAAATGCACAAGAAATTCTAATCTAGACATAATAATAATTATTTTTTCCAGATAAACATAGAAAACATTTCATAGAACCCTACTTACAAACATCCAGAACAAGATCCAAATATCTATGTGGGTATACATCAAGATTACATCAAACTGAAGAGTAGAAAGTGTCACATTCCCATCCCTTGGGCTTAGGCGATCGATGGCAGAACCGACATGGGTCAAAGCAAACACAAAACCTACCTTTTGGTTAGTGGATGATAGTATAGATTCTTGGTAGAGATGAGCATTCAGTTAAATTTGTTTTTGTGTTTTTGTTTTAATTCGAGATAAAATAAGTGTTTTGTTATATGATGTTTTTAAAAACATAAATATAAAAAAATGTTTGGTAAAAGTGTTGCAAGTTTTAAAAAATATAATGACTAGTTTAAAAAGTTCATTTAAGAGGTTTTGTTTCGTTTGGTTTTGTTTTTTTATTTTTATTTTGGTACAGTACTTGTTATTACAGTTCCAAAACATGTAAAAATATCAAATTCGTGTTTTAACTTTTGACTAATATTCACAAAACCTTTTGACATTGTACAAAATATGTAAAAACACAAAATTGGTATTTCGACATTTGACTAGGGTTGCAACTCGGGCGGGTTGGGCGGGCTTGGCACTCATCTTGGGTTAGGCTCATATAGAAAATCTTCAGCCCAAGCCTAGCTCGCCTTAAGCCCGAGCCCAGCCCATACATAATTTGTCCAGCCGGAGCCTGCACTAAGCCCACTTCAGAAGAATTTGTGTGTAAAAAATAATTCAGCTTAAGCATAAAACCCAAACACATTACCAACTTGACTACTACACTCTTGTGACTTAAATATACTTATAAATATATATAATAGTTTCGGGTTCGGGTTGGGCTTCGGACTTCATCCATATCAATCCAAATATGGCCCGAATTGAATTCGGGCTCAAAATATATAGCCCAGGCCCAAATCGAAATTAGAAAAACATTGCCCAAGCTCACAAAATTTCGGGCTGGGCTTGGGTTATTTCGGGTTGGGCCCGTCTAACTTGCAGCCCTACATTTGACCACTATTCACGAAACGTTTCGGCCTAGACAAAACAAAATATTTTTTACCAAATGCGTTTTTTCATTGTTTATTGTTGATAGAAACACAAAAAAAAACTAAAAATAAAACGCATACCAAATAAGCCCTAATTATATTAGATTGAGTTTTATTTTGATAAATAATTTATGAAATTGTAATTCTTATTTAATAAGAAATTGGATGAATTGAGTTTAGGAGTTTATACATAGATACAATAAGACATGATATTTTTTGTGAGAGGGTTGATTTGGAGATTTAATCTCGGGGGAGGACTGATTAGGGACGGATCTAAAAATTTATATTGGGGGCAAATTTATATTGAGTGTTTTTATTTTTTATTTTTTATAGGGGACAATTTAAAAAATTTATGGGTATAAAGGCAAAAAAAAATATAAATATAAGAATATAAAATGCAATAATAAAAAATTCAAGTGGGGGCATGCCCCCACTGAGCTCACTTGTCCCTGGAACTGATCAGTACGTTAGGATCTATATTTCGATAAAGAAGTAGTTTATGAGTGTTTTAAGCTTCATAGTCTTTCTATCCAGGTGCAAGTGGTTAGGGCCGGTCGATACTTGTGTAGTTTATGAGTGGATAGAATAGAAAGAACACCAATGAGGGAGTCTAGTGTAACTAAACATGTTGTGGTTAGTATCATGTACCATTATAATTTTTCAAGATTGTGTTTTAGCTAGTTTTCTGTGTCGTGCACTTCTTTGTCCCCAACCGAACCGTGTAGACGTTTTACTTTTACACAATATATATTTTTTGCCACATACTTTTACACAAATTGACTGCCTCTCACATAGTCAAGCTTCAATGCTCACACCACTTTTAGACTGCCACTTTCTAAGATGAATAGGACACTCAATAGAACAAAAATTTAACCATAAAGGTGTTCAAAAAACATACTATTGTCAAAATAATCGTTCAATTCTATAAAGTATAGTTCTTACAATACAAATGCAACAAGAAATTCTAATCTAGAACTCAGACTTGTGAAGCCAAAACTAAAGTTAAAAAAAAAAAATAAAAACCTAGAAAGTAAAACAGAGTTCTAATAGGGTGGTTGAATCCACATGTTTCCAAAGTTCTCTGCATCAACTCCATAATACTTCTTGGTGCATGGATACCTTCGACCAGCCTTATTGGAATAAAACATCATCAGTCCATCAGAAATATAGTGGTATCTATCCACCATGTCTCTCACTGTTGTATAGGTTGCAATTGATGTTGAATCAATAAGAAACAATGTTCGTTTTTCCAATTTTTCCACAATCACCCATCTCATCTTAGCAAAATCGAGCTTATAAACTCGTATCCACGAGAACAAACAGGCCTCCATCACTAATAAAAGCTCTCCATCAGTGCCCTCTACCAGATATGTCTTCTGCTTGTATGCCCCCTTCGGTATTGCTTTCGATTCCGGAAGAGTCTTCCATTTCCGTTCTTCCAAATTGAACACTCCAAGTGCTCCATTGATTTCGGCACAATAAAAGCTCCTTTTAAAGTAAACAACATTCTCAACTGGATGAAAATGGGTATCGAATTCATACATAGTCCATTTTTTATCCTTGAGAGGACATATGGTAATCTTAGTGTCCGAACAAGAATTGTCCAATACAAAGATAATGCAGTCTGGTTGTGTTGGTGGAGACGAAAATGAGGCTACTTCGCAATGCTGAACCTCTAGGGGAGGTAATTCTATAACTTCATTCTTGAAAGGATTGAAGAAAAAGAGAAGTTTGTGAGGGAATTCGTACAGTAATAACCAACCGAAATTTGAAGCACAAACCTTGATAGGATTAAAGATCATGTAAGCAGGGTCTTCGGGTTCAATTCTGAAAGTGTAGGTGTATATGTTGGAGGGGGGACAAAGGGTGTATGAACCACCATTGTCCTCGTCATTGTCATATGACACAAGCCATGGAAGTTGATCCATGGGAAGAGTTCTGGCTACGGATTTCAATTCTTTACATGTTGCTCGAAAACGTATTTGATCAGTGAAGGAGAGGCGTGTCATGATTTGTTCAAGAAGTTCTTGTGGAAGATCAGCCCATGACCTCTTCTTCCTCCTCTTGTATTCTATTATATGACTCACTTTATTCATTGATTCTTCCACAATATCCTTGTTCTCCATTATTGTCAACTCTTCCAACTAGTCTGCAACACAAAAATTACAATATTAATTCAAAAAAGAAAAGCAGATAATGAAGGTATATACCGTATATATGATGATCATATGGGAGATTCTATGCAAAATTATATAGTTGCATGAATGATTGTGCATGTAGTTTAAAAATTTATAATGTTCTTATGTAGGTTTCATATGTTGTTACGAGTCTTTGCCTTCAGAATGTTACTAGGGCGGGCTAGTACACGAGACTTCCACCAGTGCGGAATTTGAGAAGGGTCAGATGCATGCAGCTTTATTTCCGTAGATTGCTTGAAGTTTCGAACTTGGGAACTCAAACTTACCATTGTGCCAATACCACCCTCCTCCTCCTCCTTAACAAGGTTATTGTAAGCAATATTTGTAATGAGAGAGAATAATATGGTAAAATCTTATGACAATTCATAAAAATCATATCATAAATCAAGATAAATGACAAAATTAACAGTTTGATATACCCTTTCGTAAAGGTAAGCAAGAATTGGCCTGCATAAGTATGTTTCATAATTTCAAAATTATAAATTAAGACATCCCTCCGTCACAAAATAGGGAAGGGTTGTATTGAAAAAAAAGAAAAGAAAAACTTATCATGAAAATCGTATAAAAAATCATATAAAAAAACATCAACTGGCCGGTCAAACCTAAACCTATCGGGTTGGTAAACCATTTAGGTTTTCAAATAGCAATTTAGTGTTTTTTTATTTTTATTTTTTTTTAAAAAAATAGCAATTTAGTGATCAATACATAACCATAACATAGTTATTATAACCAGGCAACACTAGTATGTTCAAGTTTACAGAAACTAAAACTACAAACCCAGACATTGGATATAATTTATTCATGCTCTATGATTACACAAAACGCCTTGAATCGAGAAACCCAACATGTCTGTCTCTATATTAGGATTGAGTAGTAGTGTTTTAGAATCAAGGTTCCGATTCAAAACAAAAAAAAGCTTGCACATAAACAAAGGTCTGAAAAAATATCAAACACAACAAACGGTTAATAAAAACATCAAAAACAACAACAGCTTACGTGGCTTGATATAGAGCAACAAAACGCGCTTTTTGAACAGTTTATCTCAAAGCCTTCGGTATCTTTATAAAGTCCAAGTGCCTTGCGTAATAAGAGAACTTCAAATAAAGGAATTCTCATTTAAATTGATATAATTATTCTCGGGACCTTTTGGCGGTGTTAGAAAAAAACAGAAGCGCTTTTATCGATAGAATATTTAAAAATACGTATTAGTTATTTAATAATACATTATATAAAGTATTTTTTTTATTATAATTAAAGTACTTTTTAATTTGTTTGGTTACAATATTTTTATTATTACTAATTTTATAATAATGTTCTTTAATAAAATATTACTATATTTGGTACTAAAAACTTTACAAAAGAATAGGTGAAATTGTTTTGGTTTTTATTTTTAAGATAAGTCCCATAATTTTGTATAGGTTTTGACATTATTCTCTTTTAAAAAAAAAAAATACTATGACATTATTTCCTTAAAAAAAAAATACTAGAGATTGATCATACTTTAGACTGAATATTTTTTTTTTTTTGTTGCCCAACAAATGATTCATTAAACAACGTCAAAGTCAAGGAATGTTATTTTATAAAATTTCAAAACCCTAGTCATGTTAATTCTTAGCGGCCGCCTCTTTTTTGCTTCCTATTCCTTAGCTTTTGACTAAGAATAATGATAGAAAATTCGAATAATTATCACCGATCTTTCACTGAAATTGATATGGCCAAGCCACGTTAGATTTATTAAGCGTCTTTTAACGATAACTATTAAACATCTTTTCTCACTTCACGTGACTTAGGTACTGAATAATTGGGTGTGTTTCATTTTTAACCTCACAAACGACAAGAATCAGATTCAAACAAGAGACTGCAGATACTAAATCAGATAATTTGCCTAGTCCCAAAGAGTGTTCTTTACTTACGCATTAGGGAATCAGATGAAGAGTTTTAAAATTTTTATTTTTTCAAAAAAGTCCGATAATATGTGAGAAAATTTTAAAATTGTATGAGACTAACAAGCTTCACTAAACGTTAATTATGGTAAATCTACAAACGCCAATTAGAATTCATTGACGAAATTGATAGATCGAAAAAAATAAAAAATTAAATAAGTTACAACAATGAAGGCGTTCCCGTTGGTGGTATCGAGAAGTTCCAATTTGCTACAATTATACCTATATCTATGTGTGTGTATATATATATATATTTGCTTCTATTAGATATTCTCTTTGCTGATTTGATATTAATTTGTGTTTTTATTTATTTATTTATCAATTGCAGTGTTTGAGGAAACCAACATCATACCTTTCAGGATTTTGCCTAAATTCCTTTTTATTTTCTACACTTCGAAATCGTTGATTGAACAAAGTTCAGAACAATAATTAGCGGAGGACCTACTGAATGTCTTAATGAACTTGTCAACATGATGTAATTTAGCCACGTGATTGAGATTCGGTTACAATTTGAGGATAATCATTAGGTCTCTCTATCACTGTTCTTGGCTAATGAAAACTTTTGGGCAAGATAAATACATGATGGAGTTGTGAGTTGTGAAAAAAAAAAAAAAAAAAAATTGCAAAAACTCTTGTACTTCTCCTCATAAAGTTTATTTTATAATTATTGTTCTCAAATTTTAATGAATCAATGGAGTATCTTTTTCAATTAAATGAATAAAAAAATAAAAAAATCAAACCTTCGTTCCACCCAAAATCCTATTCAACAACACGTGACAATGTTTTTGTTTCCTCTTCTCAATCTTTGATTTAGTTACATCTCCATGGGCATTGCATCAATTAATCATATACTCTTATTTTTTTTTTATTTTTTAATTTTTTTTGAAAAGTAATCAATTATATATTTGTTAACTTGGTCGCCAGAATAAATATCAAATTTATATTGTCTTCCCCATAATCACAGAATTAGTTAAAAAAAACCACCACCAAGATATAAGGAGTATATGAAGAATTGACAATGATTTGTAGTTTGATAAACAACAAAGGCGTGATGGTTAAGGTTTTGATCCGTTATACCCGTTGTTCATAGGAGTAACAAGGATCATTTGTTCAGCATTGAATTCGGAAAGAAAAATAGTTGGGTATAAATGGGTGGGTATATAACATTACTAAACAGTTTGAGTTTTTAAATAAATGGATAAACGTTCAACTGTTACAGTTGATAAGATCTACGCCAAGCCGGATGGCTTGAGCCAGCGTTGTGGTTTAGCCGAACATGATTTTTTAAAAACAGCTAATGAACTAAGAATTAGCAACTACTAATTTTTTTTTTAATGGTTACCAATCACATCTAAACATGATTTTTTAAAATAATTTTATTTATTTATTTATTAAGATGAATAATAGAAGAGAAATATCAAACCAACCTAACTTGTGAAAAGCTTTTCGATTAGGCCCGCCTTTAATTTACATGGACTTTTATTGGGCTAGTTTTATGGGCGTTGTAGCCTCGGTATACTTTGATTGAGAATAGTTGGTTGCGTTTCTCAAACATTAGAATTCTTCCAGTAAAAATCCCATGGCCGATTAGGTTTTATTATGCTCCGACCCTTACTATTTCTATCCATCATACAATGTAATAGTCACTTCTAAAGAACATATAATACGTTGTAGCCAATCATGTATAAATAAATAAATTTGTTGATTGGTTTTTATTACTACTGATGTGGTAATCATTGAGTTTAATACCATGGACAAAAATTCACTATTGATTTTTGCAGCATTACTTCTCATTTAAGGGTTGGGTAATGGTTGTTTCGTCTTTGTGCTTTTATTTTAACTCAAAATAAAATAAGCCCGTTTAGGGAGCTGCTCTATCAAAATGCCCTATATATATAATGTAAATTAATTGTATTTAGGATTGATTTGATTAATATAATGACTTACCAAAAAAACAAAGTTCTTTTATTTCATTGGTTCTTGACCGTCCTAAATAAAAAGGACTTTCTTTTTCTATGAATGATAATTTTTCATTAGATATGAAAATCAAATAAATAATATATATATTCTACTAATTAATATTTTAGTTATTGATAGTATTATACTCAAGTTTATTCATTTACAAAATTATTGAATATAAAAATTCTCGAACTTGTATACATTTTTATTCATGGCTAAACAATGGGATATAGAAGAACCATTGAAACACAATTTTTATTTTTAATTTTATTAAATTTTTTTTTTATTCTGCTATTTTATATAGTAAGAGCATTTTAGGTAAGTATAAGTATAAGTATTTTCCTCCAACTTTCTTTCTATTAAAACTACAAAATAATATTTTCCTCCAACTTTCTTGGAAAACTTTCTTTCTAACCAAATGCATGATAAAAAATTAGTTGTCTTTTCCTTTCTTTTTCATGCTATTTTCATCCAACTAAATGAAGCCTTGACAAATACAAAAAAAAAAAAAATTATGGTTCTATTCAAATTGAGGTTAGACCAAAAGTTTATTTAAATGGGCTTTTGTTGGGCTATGGTGTTATAGGCCTTTGAACCCTTAATATGATTTGATTATGGAGCAGTTGGGCTTCTAGAGCATTGATCTTGTGGCTCTTTCGTATTATCCTGATGGACTTTACATTTCTCTTAAACATTAGTACTCTTGCATTAGCAATTTCCATGCCGGAACAGATTTGATTAAGCTCTGATCTCACTATTTGGCATGCATAATATAATGTATGTTTGAGCTTTTCTTGTAAATAATGCCTCATGTTATGTATTAATCGAACAACAATGCTTGGCTCAGGCTACATAGGCAGAAGAATTCTCTGTTTATACTGACATGGACCACTCATAACTTTACACTTGTGAAAAAAAAAATTTAAAAAATTAAACATAGATCAGCCTGATCTTTTCATGGGTTTTTTTGAAACGCCAAGGAAAATTTCGGCAAACCACCACCACCACCACCGCCAATCCCTCTGTTTTCCCTTCTCATCACCACCACGTCTCCTACTCTCCTCCAATTTCTTTATTCCCCTCTGTGCACCACCAAGTTCAATTGCAAGAAGAGGGGCTAAAATCTGTTCTTTTATTCTCCCAAATTTTTGTAACCATCAATCAATCTTGCTAATTCCTCAGATTTATAGAAACCAGATTATAAAAAGAAAAGAAAACAGTAAACTCCAGGAAAGCTCCACTGCCAAAACAAAAAAGACACCACAACCCCCTTTGAATCACGAATCGGTCTCTCAATCACCAATCTTTGTGGCAGACATCAAATCGGTGGTGTATATGGAGGGTACAAAGAGTTAGGAAACCTCCTTCAAGGATTGGCCGCAAACCAGTCCAATTTCTGGCGGCGGGATTGGCCGCCAACTTCACACAAACTCTGTTATGGGTTTCGGATTTTTGAAAGCATGCACACTGATTTTTCGCAACCAAAAACTCCACCTTCTGCCGCACCGAAACTCGAGCCATTGTCAAATCTCTCACACACAACTCAGTTTGAAACCCATCTGGCTGTCACGCAACGGACCAACATCTTCTCTGCTACGAAATAGCTTGATTCAACTCCCTCAGCATCCGTCGCCAAAACCATACTCATCCATCATCTACGATCACTTCTCCGCTAAAGTCCACATTACAAACACCAAAACCACCATCGGTCAAGTCATCCGACGCAATCACAGTCGCCGCCGGCGACTGGCCACAATGTTTCACGAACCAACTCCCCTCCAAAGAGAAGGTTAGATCCTCTTTCCCTTTGAACCACCTGTAAAAAAATCCTAGTGATCCATGTTTAATTTTTAAAATTTATTTTTTGACAAGTTTCAAGTTATGAATAGGTCACGTCAGTATAATTCCTGCTTTTGCGACAAGCATTATTCTTATTAAATGCTCTGATTTATTTATTATTATTATTGCTGTAACTCAAATCCTTATCTTTCACTTTACTGGCGAGGAGTTATCATTACGTACATATTAATTGGATGGTAAAATAAACTACGACAGTCTCTATCGTTCGGCACCCTTAATATAGCCTTATTTTACAAAAATTCATGTTATTCTAAGTGGTATAATTTGATTTCAAATTACCATTTCTAGTTCATTTTTACCTTTTTGACTGTGGGGGGTCATCGGCGATATTTTTAAGCCGCTTTCAAGCTCCCACTTTCGAATTCGCTTCCGTTTTATATGACTTAACACTAACCTTTGATAAATCTAAATTAATTGACTGTAAATCTAAATTCATAATTTCTATTGTTTAAACTGAAAGTCAAATTTTTATTTTTTATTTTTATTTATTTATTTTTTTGAATCGAAGGTTGAAGGTTATTGGTTGACCATCTTGTGTAATGAGTAAGACACTCGAAAAACCTAAAATTCAAGCCACAGAGGGCTGTTCACGTCAAACTGTCATTAGTAATAGCCCTCTTAAAAAATAGTTTATAATATAAACACTGCAAGAAATTCTGGTTTGGAGTTTACACAAGGCTTGTGAAGCCAAAACTAGACATGAGAATTAACTTTAAGCAAAGTTATATGTTGTACGAGCGAATGACTTATGAATTTTAGGTGTCTAATATATATATATATATATTTTTCAAAAGTTAAATTTCAATTTTATAGATATAAGAACAAACAAATATTTAGCCAACTGTTAGCCAAGGCTAACAAACCATCACAATTTGATCGATGAATACGGAAGCTCAGCCCCAATATTACAAACATCCCATCCTAGAGGAACAGAATAATGACCAATGTTGGTCAACCTCACATAACAGTGACGAAGATGGAGAAGAGCTCCTCATACTCGCCGATCTGGTGGCTTCGCTGGCGGCCACTGAACTGGAATTGGTAGCTCCCATTCCTCAATTATGCGCCTATCATTAAGAGAATCAGTAAATGATGAGGACATTAATTAGTTTCAGTCTCACTATATCCAGTGATTGATTGAACAATGAATTCTGCCTAGTAGATTTTTTCTTGAAGATTCCCCCGTTGCGTTCATTCCATACGCCATAAACCAAAGAAGCCAGAGCCATTTTCAAAATTGAGTTGTAAAATCCAAAATTGCATTTCCAATGATGAGATGCCCAAGCAATTAAGTTCGGCTAAAGTTCGGCCAAGAAGAAGGTTGAATATGGAACCCATGTACAATGTGTCCGAAGAAAGAACCACAATAAAAGTGCACATACAATAAAATTATTCACACCCACTTAAAAAACTGCTTTCAATAAACTTGTATGGTGCACTTTCATTGGGTGTGGGCAAAAAAATATAAATCTAATACTGACGGACACTCTCTTGTCCGCTTGATACTTCAACAAAACAACTCTAGCTTAAAACACGTTTTTATTTCTTTTTGTTTTTTTTTTTTTAATTGATACTCACACACTTTCTCAAAGGAATTGTTTGTACCTAGTAGAAATCGAAAACAATTTTCTATTTTTATATGCATGTACACTAATTGAATTGCAAAAGCTGTATGAATATATACAAACACACACATATAGTAGCATGTAACTCTGATTTTCGGTTAGAATGATGGTCTACTGTATCCATCAATTATGTTATTGTTGAATGCACTGCAATTAACGTACAACCAAGAAATAATGTTCGATTTTCCAATTCCTTCACTTCAACCCATTCTATCTTCAAAAAATTGGGCCTTAAAATTCGTATCCCCCTACTCATGACCAATATTAATATAATCTCTCCATCAGAATCAATTAAATATGTATCATATCTCCAAACATGAAGTGTTTCAATACTGCACAAAACAAATAATTATTATCCAATATGTTGCGGCTCAAAACACTGCTACAATATTCGGTTTAGAAAACAAAAATGCATACCAAACAAGCCCTCCTAAAGTTTCTTGAGCCACCAGTCTGGTGGCTCCTGTCTTCTTCTAAATTAAGTTGTAATTGAATTTGTCACTTTTCTAGAATCTTTTAATATCAAACTAGGTACGGTTGTCATCATAAACCTCTTATTGAATCAAGCCATCTAGCTTTTCCATACACACACTGTTTCAGAAAACACACACACACACAGATAGGTGATATAAAACATGATGATGAAATGATTATACTAAATTCTAATAGGGTGGTTCAATCCATACATTAAAAAACTTAAACATAGGTGGATCAACATATACACTACCATAATACTCGGAGCAACTATGGATTTGATCAGCCTTCAAGGAATATAACTTCAATTTTCCGCGGGAAAGAGTGTGTACTGTATCCACCAATTCTCTTTCGGTGGAGTGCACTGCAAAAGATGATGCACGATTTAGAAACAATGTTTGATTTTTCAATCTTGTGACTTCCACCCATTCCATCTCCAAAAAATCAGGCTTCAAAATTTGAAACCGACTCGATTTTTTGCTGAGCTTGACCAATATTAATATAATCTCTCCATTAGAATCAACCAAATATGAATCATATGTACCATCATTATAATCCAAATATCCATCATTTCTCCAATGATTTTCATCTGGTTTAGCAATAGCAAGAAATTTCAAATCGACTGTATCAATGTTGAACATCATAAGTGCTCTAGTATCCGTGAAGTATAAATTTCTTCCAGAGTAGATAGCACTGCAAATTTCACCAAAAGCACCAAGGCCCCATTCGTAAGTTCTCCAACTTATATCGTTGAGACCACAAATGCTAATTCGACTGCTGTTACCGAAGGCAAAGATCATGCATTCTGAATCTGTTGGTGGAGATGAGAATGTGGCCATGCTTAAATCAATCTCAGGTAGTTTTTCTATAACCTCCTTTTTGAAAGGATTGAAGAAAACAAGTTTTCTTCGAGGAGAACAGTATACTAATAACCAACCAAATTTTGAAGCACAAAACACACTAAGATAGTGATTAATTGGGTCATCTTCCTCAATCTTGATGTCGAAGCTCTTTTTGTCAGAAGGGTCATAAAGGGTATACGAGGGCCAAGGCTTATCAGATGTCATAATCCATGGAAGTCGTTTCAAGGGAGGAATCATAGCTACAGATGTCCAATTTCTACATGTTGATCTAACGCGTATTTGATCAATACACGCAAGTAGTCTCGTTATTTTTTCAAGAAGATCTTGTGGAAGATCAGCCCACCCCAACTTCTCTCGCGCATCTTCCTTAATGTTTCTCACTTTGCTCATCAATCTTTTACCTAAGCCCTTCTCTCCATTGATCGTCCCATAATTAGCATGCAGATTTCTCGTAGCTATATATATATAGACTGCAATTACAAGATAACATATATGTTACAATAAGAAAGAATATTGAAAATGAACCTAAGACTACACATGACAATTGACTCTAAGCAAATTTATATGTCGTACAAGTGAATGTTTCAACAATTTGAAATGTCTAATTCTCTAGGTTTGGTACACCATTGTGATTCTTTGCCTTCAGAAAACTTGACATAAGCCAAGTTTTGTTACCTTCCTTTAGATGAGGGTATTAAAAACCTAATAAATTGCCCCCCCAAAATAAATCCCTTATAAAGTAGTTAAATTCAAGCAAGTTTCTATTCAATCAGCTCTTTAGAAAAGATATTGAACAGATCATAAGTATAAATTTTTATACATACTTTCATATATATATAAACATTTATTAATTTCACTTTTTTATTTTTTATTTTTTATAGAAAATATAATTAATAACATGTATCATATTTTAGTGTCGCTATATTAGACTTCTCATATCAAATTTATGTAGGTTAAAACGATCTGTTGACATGCATGGATGTGATGGGATTAAGAATCTTCATAAACTAATCTCAAGAATCAGATTTCTTAAGGGGTATATAAAAGGCTGAGAGAGAGAGAGAGAGAGAGAGAGAGAGAGAGACGCACCTGTGGTCTAGCAGAGATCGACTGGTGATTGTGAACGGAGGATGCAACAGTAACTCAAGTCTTCTTAAAGTTCACCATCATCCAAGGAAGAGGAGATACCACTGTTACTGCCTGTAGTACTTATGAAAGGTAATTTGTATATATATATATCTCTATATATTGAAAGTGAACCCTAATTTCATAAGAAAAATAATAAGGAAATGTAAATTAATTATACTTACCAAATATAAATAAAAAGGAATTGTGGTTTACATTCAATTATTCAAATCACTTCCCCAAAAACAAGAGGTCGGTAAATTAAGTAGGACTCTAATTCTAAAACAATGCATGAGGGGTCAATAGGCTCAAGCCCACATGGTTTTACACGGGGTTGCCCTCTTTTTAGCATGGTGTTGGGGCTCAGAATATTATCATCATTTGATTAATATTGAAAATAGTGTGAGGTGCATTATTAAACCCTCCTTTCTATTGCGTTCCACTAAACATTTTTTTTTTACTAAAAACCCCTCAATTTTTATTTTTATTTATTTATTTTTTTTGAATTTGAAAGCATTTTTTTATTTAATTAAAAAGATTATTATTATTTTTTTATTTTAAGAGTGATAATGTAAAATATATATTTGTGAAGTATATATAAAATAGGTACATGGTCAGTTAACTTACTCCCCTCGGATGGTTGTGTTGGGGGATGTTTAATGGCGTTCAGCCTAGAAAATATAGTGAATGAAGAAGCAAACATGTTTTATTTATTTTTTGATAAAAAGAAGTGAAAATGTCCATTGATTGCTTTCCCATTTTCAGTTTCAATTGGTATGTATGGTAACAAAATGGGCACAATTTCAATTGGCATAAGTTCCTTTAGCACGCACATTCTCTCTCTTGGTCGAAGAAAGTGATGATTGAAAATTGGAGATGACATCTTTTATTATTCTTTTCTAAACCAGAGTTAAGAGGGGTATTCAAACTCAGCCATGGACGGATCCAGAGAAGTATCCGAGTGGAGACGGCTTTAAACAAAAAAAAATGTTGTGGAAGTATTAGTGAAGTTTTTCTATAATTTCAGGGGAAAAAATGTTGTGGAAGTATTAATGAAGTTTTTCTGGGAACAAATAAAAAATTTCAATGGGGGCAATTCTACCCCCCTGGCCCCTCCCCTGCGGCCTATACTGGATCCGTGCCTAAACTCAGCTAGATTGTAGTGCCCTGATTGAAATTAAATATCAAAATCGTTTGTAGTGCTTTTCATAATTCATTTGTAATTCACAACATTGACTTCATCAAATGGAGATTAGATACAATACTAAAGCATTGCATTGACTCAAGAAAAATTGTTGCTTCACCTCTTCGATCAAATTTCAATCCATCATTTTTTATATTCTCAAGTACACCAATTATAGATGAGAACATCGTAATCAAGTTTATTAAAGTACCATAATGTGAGCTTGAACGAGTGTCTCTAGGATGTATAAGAGAAGTACTCTAATTTAGGCCTCACCTATTTGAAAGCTCACTTAAGTTAAATCACTCGATAACTTCGATAACTTGTTTCTCTCTAAGCATTTCATGATGTTTACATGAGGTTTCAACTATATTTACCACACTACTAAGTAATGTGTAAAGATAGGAAATTTGGGAATGTTTCGTTGCCACACCCACAAGAGCTTACTGAAGTTGGTGAGCAAAACAATGAACATAAAAAGAAAATTCATTCTCTTTCATAATAAGCATTTTGAGACCGTTGAACTCGCTTCATATTACTAGCCTCATCATAACCTTGCCCACATGATTTGGAAATGCTTAATAATAAATTATCAATCACCATCTTAAGCGAAAGAGCTACTAGTTATATCTGTAACATGTACTATACCAATAAAATGCTCAATGATACTCCTATTATTCATCAAACATAACACATAGACATTTGCTCCTTTATCGATCTTATATCTTTGATGATAAAATTGATGATTTCTATTGTAGTGACATTAACGTCTTTTTGATGATTTGATGATGTTAATTTTAAATTTTCAGGAGCATTTTCTAATACAACAACTCTAATATATTTGACACGAGTCGCTAACATGATTTGAACATGTTACGGGATATGTGAGAAAAAGTAACATTCAATAATAAGAAAATTTCTTAAATGTTTTTGTGATTAAATATTATTTTGATATTGGATTGAATTTTTTTTTTTAGAAGTTTTTTTTTTTAGACAATGAATAACTAGATATTTTAGCAAATAGGCCTTTAAATCATTCTAGTAGTCCCATATTAGATGAGATTGTTGAATTCACAGGAGTTTATAAAAATTGAATTATAAAAAAAAAATAGTTATATTCGAGTTGCTGCACACAAGGTTTTTATGCATCTCAATCACTTTGATGCAACTCTATTATTATATAGGAACGATGAGATTTCCAAGACCTCGCAGACCTTCTCATCGGAATCCACAACCCAATCATCTTAAACCTCCCTTCTGGGCAGCTACCAATCTTCTCCACCATCAAAACATCTCAGTTCCTAAACGCAAATCTCTCCCTACCCCCCTGTTTCCATCCTTAAAAGGCCAAATCCCACCAAACCAACAGCTTCCCATCATAAATCTAAACCATTTAATATTCCAAAAAGAGTTACCTTCCTACCTCCAGCCCCTTCTCAAAGTAGCTCTCAACCTAAAGTCACTGATGATCATAATCACATTCTTGATGACATTGATCCACAGAACACTCGAGCCTTAATAGAGGAAATTTATAGGCTGCGGGTTGATCTTCAAGAATACAAAAGCAACTAAAAGTACAAGTACCTTCTTGAGGAAGTGGAATGGCTGAGGGAAATTATTGACATTAGTCTAGAAAATCAAGCATGACTGAGAGCTCCGATTACTGATCTTAGTGATCAAATCATCAAGGCAAATCACCTTTCATCCATTTCACTGGAGTACCCTCATCAGTCAAATAATGAAGCTAGCAATCATGGGGAGTCAGAAGCTTCAAAGGCTCATCTCCATCAGCCCTTACCATTACCAGTTCCCTCATCCACCTTCAGTTCTCACCAGAACGGCCACCCAAACCACATTGAGAGTTGTGCAATCCAATGTGCTAATCTGAATTCAAAAAAGGGTTCGGATATCTCAGGTAACCCTCCAAATCACTTTTAACCTAATGACCATCTTATCACCCCCTCTTTTGGTAATTTTTTCTGATAAGAGTAGCCAGCCTACAAACCCCTCTTTGTCACTTACCCATAGATCAAAACCAACCAGTCATCCCTATACCGTTGACTGCTCCCCCAACCCAACTAAACACAACCAAACCTTAATTCCTAGTACCAATGCAACTATACCAAACAACTGCTCCCATAATTCTGACCAAATACCAACCATACCAACCAGACCAACCTTAGTCAACCTTACCACACCTCATAATCATAATGGAACAGTTCCTACCTGGGCCTCTATTGTCAAGAACCAAAAAAGAATTCCTCTGCAGTTTATTAACCAAACTGAGATCATTGACTTTGTCATCACCCTACCCCCAGATATTGAGCAAGCTGGCATTCAACTCATGAAATCCAGTCTCTTAGGCTACTTTGTGCACAAAACCTCTCCCATTTGGAATGGTCAGGGACGCGTGCATTGAGCTTTGGGTTGAGAAAGGGCTAACCAAAGTTACAAGCTCAGAGAAAGGAATTTTCGAATTCCATTTCTCCTCCCTGGATCAATGCAAGCTTGTTCTTGTAGAAGGACCATGGTTCTTATCCAATAAACCTATCATCTTGAATCTTTGGGAGCCAAACTTCAAAAAATCTTAGTACTCTTCATTACCACTTTGGATCAAGCTTTATGGTTTTCCACTTCAGTATTGGACAGGACCCGGATTAAGCTACATTGCAAGCAGCATTGGCCAGCCCCTCTTTGCCGATGAGATCACTGAACACAAGCATAAAACTAGGTATGCTAAAGTCTGCATCAATGTTAAGACCTCTGATGATTTCCCATCCACACTTAAACTTCACATGAGCAGTGGGAAAGTTGAAAATATCATTAGTGAGTATATCAATTGTCCTTCAATATGTTACTCATGTATGAATTTTGGCCATACTTCCAAAACCTGTTACTCTTCAACCAAAGAACCAGCAAACTCTACCAATGAATGGCAAGTCATACCTTTTAAGAAGTCCACCAAATCCCCTTTTCCCACAGTAAAAACCACCTCCCAATTATCCAATTTGCCAATTCACTCTAGAAAGAATGTCATTACCCATTACTTTAAACCCAATGAAAACTTCACCATTGATCTAAG